TTACGAGAGTTAAGTTCCGGTCCGTAGTCTGACTGCATTAGTAGTCGAGGGACAAGGATGTAAGTGGGATGTTTTGCTTTGCTGGGTAGGACAATGTCCGACGTGGTTGAGTTTCAGACCCTGCATCTGCATCTGCAAGTAAGATGGTGGCTGCCAGGATACCCGGTCCATCTGCAAGACGAAAGGCCAACTGGCGACAGGGCAGGCGGGCCGACACTCCGACCAAACCAGGCGGGTAATCCTCGGGGCATTTCGTGGCTGCTCCTTCGGCCATTCCTCCCGTCGATCCGCCATTCATGATGTTGATCCATGATGCATTCCATCCCACTCTGCAGCCATCGGATGCATGGATGATTCAGGCGGGGTGTCAGGCACCGTTGAGTTCCGGGTATATGAACTCCTCCGTCTGCCCCGCTTCAACCACTTGTTTCAGTACTAGTACTAGTAGTCCTCGACTCGAGTCAGTCTGATCTGTGATAAATTTATACTTCAATCCCCCACTCCCCGTTCCTGTACCGACGATTCTCCGGCTCTTTAAACTAAACTCTGCTGCACAACCTGCAGTTAACTCGAATGCCAGTCCATCCACTTCTCGAATTATAATCAATTCATCCTCCCGTCTCCGTCACCATGGCACGTCTGGACGTGGAAAAAACCATTGAAGAGCTCACGCTGGGCGAAAAGGTAGCTCTCACGGCTGGCAAGTAACGACCTATAACCGAATTAATAACAGAAAAGATCACTAATCAGTACCACAGGCGTGGACTTCTGGCACACTGCCTCAATTTCCCGACTAAACATCCCCGCTCTGCGCATGTCCGATGGTCCCAATGGCGTGCGAGGCACCCGCTTCTTCAACGGAATCCCAGCCGCCTGTTTCCCCTGTGCCACCGCCCTCGGAGCAACCTGGGACGCCCATTTGCTGCACGAGGTGGGCCAGCTGATGGGTGACGAGTCCATCGCTAAGGGCTCGCATATCGTGCTCGGTCCCACCATCAACATCCAGCGCTCTCCGCTCGGCGGTCGAGGCTTCGAGTCTTTCGCTGAGGATGGCGTACTCTCGGGAATTTTGGCTGGGAATTACTGCAAGGGGTTGCAGGAGAAGGGCGTTGCTGCCACACTAAAGCACTTTGTCTGCAATGATCAGGAGCATGAGCGTCTGGCGGTCAGCAGTATCGTCACTATGCGTGCCCTGCGCGAGATATACCTGTTGCCGTTTCAGTTGGCCATGAAGATATGTCCTACTGCGTGTGTTATGACGGCCTATAATAAGGTCAATGGCACACATGTCAGTGAGAATAAGGAGCTTATTACGGATATTCTCCGGAAGGAGTGGAATTGGGATGGTCTGGTAATGAGTGATTGGTAAGAAATATCTCTATAAATAGCTGCCTAGCATGGATATTAACAGTGCTCCAGGTTCGGAACCTATAGCACCTCCGATGCTATTGCTGCTGGTCTGGACCTCGAAATGCCCGGCAAGACACGCTGGCGTGGCTCTGCCCTAGCGCATGCTGTGTCGTCTAACAAGGTACCTGAATTCGTTTTGGACGACCGCGTCCGCAACATTCTTAACCTCATCAACTGGGTCGAGCCTCTGGGCATCCCCGAGCACGCCCCAGAAAAAGCCCTCAATCGCCCCCAAGACCAGGAGCTTCTCCGCCGCGCCGCTGCTGAAGCCGTCGTGCTTATGAAAAATGAAGATAACATTCTTCCCCTCCGCAAAGACAAGCCGGTCCTGGTCATCGGACCCAACGCCCAAATCGCCGCCTACTGTGGCGGAGGTTCTGCCTCCCTAGACCCCTACTACACCGTCTCGCCCTTGGACGGCGTCGCCGCCAAAGCCACCTCCGAAGTTCAATTCTCGCAAGGCGTCTACTCCCACAAAGAACTTCCTCTCCTCGGTCCTTTGCTCAAAACCCAGGATGGTAAACCAGGGTTCACGTTCCGTGTCTACAACGAGCCTCCTTCCCACGAGAACCGCACCCTCGTCGACGAGCTCCATCTCCTCCGCTCCAGCGGCTTCCTCATGGACTACGTCAACCCCAAGATCCACTCCCTCACTTTTTATGTCGACATGGAAGGCTACTTCACCCCCACCGAATCTGGCGTCTACGACTTCGGCGTCACCGTAGTCGGCACCGGCCGTCTTCTCGTCGACAACGAAACCGTCGTCGACAACACCAAGAACCAACGCCAAGGCACTGCTTTTTTCGGCAACGCCACCGTCGAAGAACGCGGCTCTAAGCACCTCAACGCAGGCCAAACCTACAAAGTAGTCCTCGAATTCGGCAGCGCCCCCACCTCCGACCTCGACACCCGGGGCATCGTCATCTTCGGACCCGGCGGATTCCGCTTCGGCGCCGCCCGCCAGGTCAGCCAAGAAGAACTGATCTCCAACGCCGTCTCCCAAGCCAGCCAAGCCTCCCAAGTCATCATCTTCGCCGGTCTCACTAGCGAATGGGAAACCGAAGGCAACGACCGCGAACACATGGACCTTCCTCCTGGAACCGATGAACTGATCTCTCGTGTCCTCGACGCAAACCCCGACAACACAGTCGTGTGTCTCCAGTCCGGTACCCCTGTCACCATGCCATGGGTCCACAAAGCCAAAGCCCTCGTCCACGCCTGGTTCGGCGGGAACGAATGTGGTAACGGCATCGCGGACGTTCTCTTCGGAGACGTCAACCCGTCCGCCAAGCTCCCATTAACATTCCCCGTCCGCTTACAGGATAACCCTAGTTATCTTAACTTCCGCTCTGAGCGAGGCCGCGTTCTCTACGGCGAAGACATCTACGTCGGATACAGGTACTACGAAAAGACGAACGTGAAACCCCTCTTCCCCTTCGGCCACGGCCTATCCTATACCACTTTCTCCCGCAGTGATCTGAAGCTCACTACCTCCCCGGAGAAGAGCACCCTCACCGACGGCGAACCCATCACAGCCACAGTCAAAGTAAAGAACACAGGCGCCGTCGCCGGCGCCGAAATTGTCCAGCTGTGGGTCCTTCCCCCAAAGACGGAGGTGAACCGGCCCGTCCGCGAACTGAAGGGTTTCACGAAGGTCTTCCTCCAGCCTGGGGAGGAGAAACAGGTTGAGATTGTGGTGGAGAAGAAATTGGCGACGAGCTGGTGGGACGAACAGCGCGAGAAATGGGCATCGGAGAAGGGAACATACGGGGTGTTGGTCACAGGAACTGGAGAGGGAGAGTTGAAGGGGGAGTTTGCAGTTGAGAGGACGAGGTACTGGGTTGGGTTGTAGGGATGCCGTATCTCAATCATGACGTGCATAGTATGTATATGGGTTATGATTGATTATGTGACGGTCAATGAATTGAGATTGGATACTTCTATTTACAGAGATGAGTAAAGGTAGGAAACAAATAGAAGACAACATGGATTCATATCAATGATACAATAGATCCTAGCACAACTGGGTAAGGTAGTAGAATAACATACGCACTCCACTCCTAGCGAGTCTACTACTATCTACTAGCTATCACTTTGAAGTCACACTTTACTTTCTCTCTCTCTCTCTCTCTCTCTCTCTTTACCTTCGGTTCATTTCAACCATAGACACTACAATACTGAAGTACATATGATCAAACACGCCTCGTGGAAATGATATAATACCCTTCATAAACACATCTGTCACAAACACACGCACATATGTATGCACGCTGCTCGTTAATACTACCGGTATAATGTGATATCTTTATCCTACTATTTAAATGTATCCACCGAGTCGGTGGATTTGATGAGTTCGTGCTACATACTATTGTGTCAGGATGCGTATTACTACTTCATGTACTCTGTGGTGGATAATTGTAGTAGTAGTGGTGGTGGCAGGAGTGATAGTAGTAACCAGTTGATTGAGTAAGGGTACTACTAGAGATTGGTATAGGAAGTAGCATTGTAGCTAGGAGGAGGTCAGAGGGTGTCAGGATCCCGCCTGGTGCGCTTCAGGCGTGAATCCTCTGGCTATCTATCCGCTAGATTATCCAGTAAAAGACTAGAATTCTGAGTCAACAGACTCAGAACGCGCATTCCTTATAAGCTTTAATTCACTAAATGGCAGGCATGTGACTGGTTGTCACAGAGGGGAGGTGCTGACTGGTACTAGCTATTATTGTGGATTCCCTTCCCCCCCAATTTCTACCTCTTTCAATTGAGGATGTTGTGCTAGGACTATTTGCATGAGGAAGTTCTTGAAGGCGGTATGAGTCAGACGGAATGATCTAGGCTATTATACTTGTTTGATTTGTCTTATCATGACTTCTTATGAGGACTGCATCGATATATTGTATCATTACTCGATATCTGTCATCTATTTGGTTGATTGAAATAGAGTAATTAATTTACTCGCATCTTCTCTAATACTTCTCTTAATAGACTATACGACCTAGTCAACACTGGAATCTACAAGTACACACACGTATGTCATCCCCTTGAAACAAAAGGGGGTGGGGGGATTTATAGGAACACCTTGATGATACTACCCTCGCCGATGATATACCTAATAGGGTTCATTCCCTCGATCGATGAAAGCGGGGAAAGAGTCTGAGTCCAGACTCAGACCCACAAACTGCGTTTGAGGCTGTCTGTCACATTGAGCTGGGGTTTAATTGCGCTGGCTGTGGCTGGGACCCTAGAAGCTAATTAATTGCTTGTCAGACTATCAGCAGTAGGGAGATGACCATGGCGCGGACCATCCTTTTCATCGTTCTGATGGGCCATACAAATCACTCTTGTAGTATATAGTAAACGAGGAAAGTACCATATTCTCAGACACCGAGCAAAGCCCATATTTTGAAGTAATGATTGACTGGAACTTTGCTTGGGTCCTTCTCACCCTCCTTTAATTCACAGTCAGTGCAGGATTGCCCCCACAATGTCTCCAAAGACCTCTATCATCACCACATACCTCCTCGTCCTCCTCGCCAGTCTAATCTCAGCCAAAACTGTCCGAGAACATCTCGACATGTTTTGTCCCTCCAAAAATGGGCAGGAGGTCCGACTGGAGGAGAGACTATTTGTCACATACCACTGTGGAAAGGCCCCCAAGGGACTGGGATCTTCTGGAGAGCTACCCTGCAGCGATGGATCCTGAAGCCTGCAGTCGCGCCTGTGTAGTCAGCTCTACCTGTAAAGGAAGTCTATACAGTGCGCAACCGGCGAACCGCAGGGCTCCGTGTTTCTTGTATTCGGGCGCCACTGAGCCGGTGCTTGAAGATATGGATCGTGTGTTGTGGATGTCGTATCGGAAGGTTTCGCCTTTGGACCCGGTTGATTGTAAGGAGGAGCTTGAGTTGGTGGGGGAGTTGGAGGATAAGGTCAGTGTTTACAGAGGGAGATGGAGCAGTTGAAAAGGGACTTGGAAGCTTGCCAGGCCTCTAGTGGTGGCGAGGAAGGAGATGGAGGCGATAACGGAGGAGGGGAAGAGGAAGGTGAAAATGGTGGTAACGACGGCGGTTCAGGAACTGGACCAAATGATGCTGTTTGTGAGTATTTACCCTCATATGAAATGTTTGAAGACACGAAGTTACCCCAGTATGCTGACAGACACCACCTCCATCAGGTCCTCGAAATGATGAAAACGTCTTCAGCTATGAAAGCAGAAGATGGGAGCTGCACTGTGACAGATGTATGAATATCCCCTCGGTATGCACTTGTTATGCACTTTCGGTGCCTTTCTTGATCTCCACTAACCCTGCATAGATACCCGTTATGGAACCGGTGCGAACAATGACCTTGACAGGGATTCCCCCTACCTCAATATTGCAGAATGTATTCGCCAGTGCTCCCAGATCCCCAAGTGTAGGATGGTATACTTCCATAAAGGTCTCCGCACTTGTTTCTTTGCGACCAGACCAGGGACTTTGAGTGGACGTGCTCCCGATTATGACGCTGCCTGGGTTCTTGGATCCTAGAATGACGCTGTCGCTATGCACGGTGCTGCCGTTGCTGTCGAAGTCTGCCCGCATTCGAAGTGCTTCATTTTATTGGAAGGTTTCGAGATTGGAAGTGTCCGTTGCCTCATTTGTTGGCTGTTCCAGCTGTATGATGTGTGGATTAGCGTTGATCGTAATCAACAACGTACCAAACTCGTATATTCAGGCGACTTCCCCACAGTCTTGTCAATGTGGTGACTGAAAGCAGGAGTGGCCGGTTTGGCGTTGAAATCTGGGACCCATCTTCTTGCCAAATCATCAACATTTGACGTCTGCACCTCGCATCGAAGATATGTTACCTGAAGCCTGCCCACAGAATTAACATTGGCCTTGGGCGTCACATGTCTCCCACTTGGCCCTAAGCATTGTTCAGACCCGAAGACTTCGTTCGAATGTAGTAGTAACAGGGGATAAGAGGGAAACCGAAAAGGAGCCTGGCAAATACAGCGCGAGGCGTCGAAGGAAGAAGCGAATCGACCAGAGGTAGTATCAGGAGGCGAGCAGCAGCAATAGATTGATTGTAACTGCGACGATTGGAAGCCATGACAAACGTGAATTGCTGCTTGTAGGCACTAGTAAAGGGCCAAATGAACATGAAGGATACCAAATCACTCGCAAGACCAGTCTGACAATCACATGATGATCATGCCCCGTGCTTTGTTTGTTCCAGGTACAACATAACAAGATGTAATATTGTATGAGTCATTCGATGGCTTTTGTGTAGGAGGTATCCGTCAAGAGAAGCCTTTGATGAAGATGACCTAGGGTCGGACAGTCTAGAGCATCCATAGTTATCACCATGTAATCATAGAATAAAGAAAGAACCCTTGCAGTGACAGTGTCATGGAAGTCACCGTAAAGTTGCATCTCTGAGGTAGATAGAGCGCATGAGTCTAAGTAACTCTGCAATAGCTTGGGGCTCCGTTCCAAACACGACTTGTTGGGAGCAAACGATTACAGTCGCACGGAGTATACCGCTCTTCACCTGAGACTGGGAGTGGTATAATATTTGGATCTAGACCGAGTTGTAATTCCCGTTTGCTCCAGGCAACGCTGCTGTACATACCGTATCCTTATTACTTTGCTGCCTGTGTCTGTGCCACTGCTGCTGCTGCTGCTGCTGCTGCTGCTGTTGTTGTTCCAATCCCGACCGAGGCATTTTGGAGGGCTCTTCCCTGGTCAACCCACACCAATACCCTCATTTTGACAACCATCACGACTTCTATCTTGGTATTCTCCCATAGTAGCACTCTTGAAGAGATGATCTCTGCTATTCCTCGATACAATCTGCTTGGGATATCGTCCATATGGCCGACAACAAGGAAGATGCCTTCACGCGGTCGGTTACAGTCCCCTTGATGAGGGGCAGATGAAGCTATTCATCAGATATAAATACCCTCTCATTATCCAAACAATGAGTTGAAAATAGATGCAGAATCAATCGGTTTCTCAAAGTCACCTGGTTCTTCTTTCAGTCTCTCAGCTCCCTGCAAAAGATCATCCACAGATCTGCCTTTCATCTCACCAAAAACAACCTTCTCCTCCCTTCCAGCAACTACAACGCACTGCCATCCATCCATCAATAACGATGAGCATCAGCATCAGTCATCGACCAATGACCCAAGGGAAGTCGAGGAGAAGCTATGCCAGCTAATGAAGGACAGTTTGCACACTACCGCAAACGATCCCACTGAAGCTGAGAAACAGCCTCATCAGCCATGTTCCTCTCCTCCTCTCGACGGTCCTCCCACCGACTCGTCTTCGAGCCCCGACAACGACAACAAGACGAACGAAGAAGCGGATGAACCGAGAATCCAAGCAAAGGAGGCAAGTGGGCTCAACAACGACCCGTCTCCAAGCCCCAACGATGACAATAAGACGGACAAACGAGCAGATGGAGAAGCGGACGAATCGGCAACCCCAGCAGAGGACGAAACCAAGCCCGCCGACGACGAGCTGTCCCAGTCATCGGATGACGAGTCGAATTCCCCCGAACCAGACCCAAGCGAAACCAAAGCCGACAGACTGCGGCGCGAGCGACGGGCCAAGTTGGACGATTATATCGAACGGGATCGCAAGGATCTAATGCCGCGCCATATCTGGCAAATGGAGCAAGACTTCCGACGTACAGACTGGCAGGCTTCCGCTACAGATCCATCTTATCAGCCACCAGTAGGTACAAAACTGGAATTGAGCGAAGCCGAAGCTGAAGAGCTACAGCGCCAGGAACGAGAGTGGTGTAGGTCATATGAGGAGAACATGAAATGTGAAGATTTTTGCGGGATACCAGACGAGGAATGGTTGGCCGATCTGAAAGCAGAGCAGACAAGTAAAAATGAAGCGGCGGACGAATCGACAACCCCAGCAAAGGAAGAAACCAAGCCCGACAACCAGCTGCCTCAGCCATCAGAAAACGAGCCGGATACCCAGCTTTGTCCAAGCGAGACCAAAGCTGACAGAATGCGGCGCGAGCGCCGAGCCCAGTTAGACAGTTATTTCGAACTCAATCGAGGGAGTTTATTGCCCCGTCATGTCTGGAAAATGGAACAAGAGTTCCGACTTACAGACTGGCAGGCTTACGCTACAGATCCATCTTATTGGCCACCGTATACACCACTGGAACTGAGCGAGTCGGAAGCTGAAGAGCTGCGGCGCCAGGAACGAGTATTCTGGGAGCAAAAAGACTTGCCATATGACAGAAACTCCAGGTTCGTGCCACTGGAATATGAAGGAATTATACCCAATGACGATTGGTATTACGATCTTAAGGCCGAGCCAATGACTAAGGAGGAAGCGCTGCGCTACTATGAGCAAAAGTTCCGTACGAAGAAGAGTAAGGGACATGAGGATGATCGAAATATTACAGCGGTCGCTCCAAACGAAGTCGAAAACAGCCTTGCTAGCGACCAGATTAGAACCGATCCTTTGGTGCCATCCAAGCTTTGAAACCTTCTTTCATCTCTTTCTTGGGGATATCTTCCAGTGCTACGAGTGTCGACTACCAGCGAAATGGTCATTGAGATCAGTCGTGGTCCGGTTTTCTCTACCTACTTGGAGTAAGGACTGCCCCTTCTCGCAATCCCTCATAAGTCCTTCGTTTAGTTCATCAATATAAATCATTCTTTTAAGAAGCATAATATTCAAAATCCTCCAAAGTGCCAAATTCCCATCACCTTAATAGTCGCCCAAAAAGTAGCATCGCCCAAAAAGTAGCATCGAAATTTTCAAAAAAAGACCATGGCTTTGAATTCAATACTCTGTCGTGGAGCATCACTTCCATCTAAGCGGAACGAGGCATGTGGGACACCTTTGTCGAAAACCATTACTAGATTAGCGACAGCTATTGAATCATGTGAGACAAATGACGCCGGTATACCTGGTTTGTCATCGAATCTGTTACCCCCTTGATAGAAGATTCAAGCCTCAGACGGCTGTTGGTTGCTTTTATAATACCACTTTTGGGACTTGTTGTGTTGCAAAGAGCAGTTCTGGCCCCAGACCTCATCACTGTGATATATCACAGGAAGTACATCATCCGGCTCCACGGAACTCGGTTCGCAAAAGGCTAAAGGATAATTCTTCACCGGAAGTAACGGCAACCAAAGGCTACCGATGAGATATGTCAATCAGCCGGGTGTACCACGAACGGCATGTAGATGGATTATATACTTGTAGAACTCATATTTGTGCGATGGCACAACCTTTGAATTGGGCTTTGTACAGTACTGTCGAAACAAATCTTCACGCCAGCTCTCTGCCGTGTCTGGGAAGCGAAGGTCAAAAGTAAGGTCTTGGGGCTCTGGTTGAGTGTTCTTACCGATGTGAGCTTTTTCACTCGGCTTTCGACCATCTGCATATTTTCCACGGACCTTGGAGATGTCAGATGTCAGATATATGATTGTCGTTCTTGGGTGGGGTATGACGCTAAGTTACCACATGCGACCAGATATGAACGATCGACGCTCCTGTAAGCCTTTGCAGTACTTGCTTGACCTCAGGATATAGTGTATCACGGATCTTATCCTGTTCGTGGAAGTCTATATACGACATTGAAGTGCTGAGAGTAGCGGTACAACGCCCTTTGTTTCGACCATGGATGATCCAACAAAAGCCATATTAGCTTGCGTGTCAAATTTATCACAAATAGGTAGCTCGCGTGTGAAGATTTCGCAAGACGCCCGCTTGTGACAGTGGGTGACTGATCGAAAGAGGCTCGCAAAGTGACCTTCCACTTATATATAGAAACGATATATAGAAGTTGTCACTTATGTCGCCTTTGTGGATGTTCTGGGGGTACAAGTTAGTAGTGTGTGATAAACAGTGTTGCTCGATGCTAGGCCCGTAGCTTTGTGGCTCTCTATACATTGGTTCTCTTGCTTGGGGCGACCTTTTGCGACGAAAGCGTCCAAAACTTGTGTATATTGCTCTTTCTCTAAAGCGGAAGACAGAAAGACTTCTTTCACAACGCACACAAGTCTATGGGTTTGATCCTCTGTCCTAGGACAGCTGGTGCTTGGCAAGCTCTCCTGGGCGAGCACGAAGGATTCCGCAGACATGGATTTACGTCGAGGTGAGATGTATTGGGTCGGATAAGGCAAGGCAGGCATGCCATCTCCGGAAGCCTCCAATGCGCTCGCTCGGGGACAGAGGGGAAATAGGTATTAGAATACTATAGGCACGGATACTTCTGGACGTTCTTCCGGTGCTGATGTCGGAAGACTGTCGAGTTGGCTGCAATGCTCTGCTCCTATGCGGCAAGGCATAACTATGAGACTATGTGAGATTGTGGTCAACTTAGAATAAGGTTGGAATATATAGCTGGAAACTTGAGGTGGCAGTCAGGTCTTACGGGCTATATCGCATCAATCAGTTTTTCGGTTTATCCAGATCTGGAATCAATGACTAAATTGTTAGTATGGTTATCCATGGATTTGCCATGAATCAATACCTTCATCGGCCGTGTGAGTTGTGCAAGCCAGTGCAACATGAGGCTAGAGATAGTGTGATATTTGTTGTCCGAACTCATTCATTGGCCGTAAATACCTTAGACGAATACGATACAGTCCTTTCATTACACTAGAAACATGATCGCCAAGCTTGACACAGTCCAACTACTAATCCAAATATCAAAAACCCTACAACATCCCGCCAAATCCACAGTAACAATACCCGCCAGTTATCTAGCATTAAACTCGCCAAGTTGACGACAGTCATGTATAGTAGAACCAATTCATACATCGGCTCTATCTATATTCGCCACAATCAGTGACCTTCCAACAGCCACTCGCGGAAATCCCCAAAGTCATCCATATGATAACGGGACCATTTCAAATGATACAGAGCAAACCCCTCCACAAAAGATTCCACCACAATTCGAAGGTTCTCATCTCTCAGGCACGCAGCACGTAATCTCCGGATACTATGAAGACACTTGTCAACCGTCATCTCCAACGCTTCGGTAGCAGAGCAGCCCTCGACTTCAGATACTAGCATCAGATTTGTATCTTGTTCATCGCCGATGATGGACTCCTTATAAAAGGAAACGACATCATTGAGCTGTGGCACAATCGCTGCTAGATCAGGAATTAGGGTAATGTAAGACGCAACGTCGAGGCTACCTTTGGGGAAATTGGCGAATGCATAGGCCTCTCCGATTCCGCTCTTTTGCCGCAAGAATTCGGGAAACATGCTGGTATTGTGATCAACCTTAAGACGTCCCTTCTGCTCAATTTCGAAAACGTTCACACTGATGTAATCCATTGAGGACTTGAGGATCATGTCACCAACAAAGGGGTCGTAGCGGGCGCAGAGATCCTCCAGGGCTGAGAATAGGCCACGGATGTAGGCCCACTGTGGCTGGTGGATTCCCAAGAGGTATGCGCGGTAATACTTGAGATTCTCTCTGAATTCGGCTCCCTCACAGAGATCATCAATCGAGAAGATGTATGACGTCCACACTCCGATGGACAGTTGGGTGTCACGATCTAGGTATGGGTAGAAGCATCGTGCCATAAAGGCCGCTCCTTTAGAATACTTGTAGACGACCTCTGAGGGCAGTCCACAACGGCTGAACTGGAGGAAGACTTCTCCGTCGAAGGCATCATCGGCTGGGACATCGGGTATAGTGACGAAGACTTCTCGAAGGAAGGAGGATACCAGGGTAAAAAATATTCTGACTGGATCACTGATGGCAGGCTCCGTAGAATTCTGGTCAACAGAGAAGAGTTGACCCATTGTTAGGGCGTACTGAAGTGGACTTTCTGAAGGAATTTGTATGAGAATAATGGTTATGATGCTGAGATGGTTCATGGGCTACAGGTCATTCTATATGGACAACCAAGTTACTTGGTTCAGCAGTCATAATTCACATTGAGTGCTATTTGGTGAATGCTATCCATGTTAACAGATCAGACCGACAAATACATTCCTTGTACACAGATCTAGAAATGGACACAAAAACGGAAAGAGAAGGAACATGTGGGCACGGTGGCTTGAGCACACCGGCTTCGGCACCCTGATGCGAACGGTGTGAGACAGCAGAAGATCGGTTCACACTATGCCCTAACTGGCATGTCACATCTCACGTTGCATTAGTCTCCAGAGAGTGTTGGCCAAAGCCATAATGCACACTGCTCATTGGGTCTTGTTAGTTAGATCTGCGTGCATGTGCCACATGTGTGACCTGGAATCATAAGTAACTCAAAGAAGCACAGGGATGATCCCGGAACATCAGATCAACGGAAGCTTATTTCCATGGCATCCCAACTTCGAGCTCATCTCATGCCCTATGAAGCCCAGTACAACAAAGAACTCCCTTTGTAAGTATCCTCGTAATCGGCGTCTACCTATAGCCAATCTCAGCATGCTTCGTCCGAACAGTGCTGAAGTGTACATCGAAGGATGGCCAACGCATACGAATCAGCATTTCCAAGCACATGTCACAGGCACGATGTCTCCTAAGCATATCTGAGTGATTAACATTGCATATCCTTAGATCTTAAAGATCCAGTAGGCATATAACAAGTAAACAATGTGGGGAAATTAGTCCGAGTTTCTTCCTATCTCTCTATGGGATTTGTGCCAGGGCCGAACTATCACACACGGAACTTTAACCGTCGTGATCAATCACCTCTTGGTTGCAGTGTGCTCGTTCTGAATCAAGCTCGTCGCTTACTTTATGAGTACTTATTTGTCATTCTTGCCGTTTTTGGACTTACTTCACCCTGTTTTCACTTTTTTTTCAAATCTTCCTTGCTCCTGCTACATACGGTAGACCGAGTTAGATTTGCTTCTCGCCACATGATAGCGAGTGACTGCTTTCTCAATTCCTCTTGGTTCCATTTCGAAGCGGTGACTCGTATTTATATATTGTGAACCCGCTCCTTCCACTGCAAAGTACCCTTCTCTTCAAACATACTCTCACCTCTGAACCTTTCAACTTCTCAAGCTCAGTAACCTCAATACTTCTCAGCTACTCCCGAGCAAGATGGCCTTAATCACGGATGAAATATCTCTTCCATTCATTCTCAAAGCCTTTGCGTGGGCCTTTGTTCCAGTGGGCACTCTCATTCTCCCAGCCATTTCATGTTCATCCACTAACAAGAACAACAGTACTCCATAATATGCGTCATATACAACATATTCCTTCACCCCCTCAAGCACTATCCTGGCCCTCGTCTCATGGCGTCTAGCCGCCTTCCCATTTTCTTCTTGGTCTTGATTGGCAAATCAGTCAATACATTGGAAAAGCTGCACGCAAAGTACGGCCCAGTGGTACGCGTGGCTCCGGATGAGCTCAGCTTCACCGCCGCAAGCGCCTGGAAAGACATCTACTCGAGTAGTGCAGCTTGGCCCCTCGCTATACCCCGCAATATGGTGTTCTTCAGGGCTATGGCAGGGGAATATGGTTTTCATTCTTTGGTCACCGCCAACAACCAAGATCATGCCAGACTGCGACGTTTGTATTCCCGGGCCTTCTCGAAGCAAGCACTGGCTGCTCAGGAGCCTTTGATAATCCAGCATATTGACAAGTTGATCAAGAAGCTACATGCTGAGAGTGATCAGACATCCAAACCTGTCGACATCAACATGTATTTGAACCTGGCCCTTTTTGACATGATCAATGACCTTCAATTCGGGGAACCACTTCACTTATTAGATGATACAACCCACCGGGCCTTTGCGCGCGCCTCACTAATTATAGTACCCAGTGCCGCCGTAATCCAAGCACTAGCAGACTTCCCTCTGGCCAGGATCATCCTCAAGCCGATTCTTCGCGAGGTATTCAGAATGCGACGACTCTACTTTTCCACAACGGACCAGAGGCTCGAGAAACGACTGGCATCGAACTCATATCGCGCAGATATCGTGCAGTTCCTCACAGATGCCAAGTCAGATAACATATCTCTAGAAGAAATACAGGCCAATGCACCACTCATGAATATCGCAGGATCTGGGACATCTGCGGTGGCTTTGAGCGGCCTGATCGCCCATCTTCTCCTTGCCCCACACATACTCAAAGAGCTGCAGAATGAGGTTCGTTCAAAGTTCAAGACCAGTTCCGACATTACTATGAAGAACATGGTCGACATGCCCCTTCTTGATGCCTGCATTAAGGAAGTCCTCCGTGTGTTCCCGGCTGTTCCTGTCACTCCTGGGCGCTTGGTTCCGTCTCCCGGGGTCACTATAGCTGGGAAGTGGGTTGCCGGTGGCACTCGTGTCTACGTTACTCCTCTTGCAGCTTTTCATTCTACGGATAACTTTCACGATCCGGATACTTTTGCTCCTCAGCGATGGTACAATACAAAGGAGGAGAACAGTTTCGCGTCTAAGGATGTTAAGGATGCGTATAAGCCGTTTTCTGTCGGCCCTTATAATTGCATTGGTCAATAGTAAGTCCAACACCCATTTCGCCCTGTCCTGTTGTTTCTTGAATATATCTTTTACTTTGATCTCTCTGTCCGAGAAGTCAAGGAAAGCACTGACCTTTTACTAGCATGGCACACTACATCGTGTCACTGTTCATATGCAACTTGCTTCTGCACTTTGAT